GAAATCACCAACAAGAGTGAAGAGACAAAGCTCAGAGAATAGGAAAAAACTTTACCAGCTATTCTTCAGACAAAGGACTAACATCTACAATATATAAAGAACTCAAAAAAATCACATGCCCCTTTAAAGACCCAATCCAAAAACAGGCATCTGAAATGAATAGATACTTATCAGATGAAGACGTAGAAACAGCAAATAAATATATGAAAAAGTGTTCGGGATTGGGAATATAGCTCAGCAGTGCAGCATCTGGCTGGCAAGCGTGAGTCCCTTAGTTCGATTCCCAGTACCAAAAAAAAAAAAAAAAAACCCCAAATCAAAAGTGTTCATCATCACTGGTCATTCAAGAACTGCAGGGCCGGGGATTTAGCTCAGTGGTTCTGCTGCCTGCCTCGAAAACGCAAGGTCCCGAGTTCGATCCCCAGTACCAAAAACAAAAAGAAAAGAAATGCAAATTAAAAGAACACTGAGATTCCATCTCACTACAGAAAGAATGGCTGTTATCAGGAAATCAACCAACAACAAATGCTGGTGAGGCTGTGGGGTAAAAGGAACCCTTCTCCACTGTTGGTGTAAGTGTAGACTGGTGCAACCACTGTGGAAATCAGTGTGGAAATTCCTCAAAAAACTAAGACTACAGGTTCCATTTGACCCAACTATTCCTCTTCTTGGTATCTTCACAAAAGAATTAAAAGCATCATACCACAGTGACATATATACACCCATGTTTATAGAAGCACAGTTTGAAATAGCTAATTCTTGGAAACAGCCCAGATACCCATCAACCAATGAATGGATAAAGAAAATATGTTTTTTTATATACAGTGGAGTACTACTCAACCATAAAGGCTAAACTTGAGACATTTCTAGCTAAATGGATGCACCTTGAGACCATACTATTAAGTGAAATTAATCAGACACATGTTTAAATATCACATTGTTTCTTTTGTGTGAGAAACCCAAAGAGTAAATAAGGATCAAAATATTGGGAAATAGGAAGAAAATATTCAAATGGGATGGAGAAGAAAGGGGGATGGGGGAGGAAAGAGAGGGAATACAGTAGGGATAAAAAAAATGAAAAAGAATGGAAGGAAAACAATAGAAACAATGTTTTGTAAAAGGAGAAGGGAAGATGGAATGAAGGGAAGGCTAGAAAATAGAAAAAAAGAATTAAGATATACATGTACACGTACAAATTCCCTATGATGAATGTGACTATATATGTCAAAAGTGTACCAATAAAATTAATTTTAAAAAATAAAATAGTGCATAGAATATGAGAGAAGATGTGATCTGCAAGTCCAAAATCACCTTTATTCTATTCATTTGGTGATATGTGGTGGTAAAGAATTCAAGATTGGAATTAAATTTCAGCTCCAAATTTTGATTGTTTGCTCCTCTGATTTGCTGATTTTGATGATATTACTCTGCAGTCTGATGCTTTCTTCTTACCAAGCCTTAACAGGTCTGTATTTTGTTTTCCAGAAAGCTTTTACAATCTTCTCTTCATCGCAAATATTCTGAAATTTCATGTAGTTCTTCTCATTATTTTAAAAGTGCATTGTACTGGGCCAGGGATTTAGCTCAGTGGTGCCTCTGCCTGCCTTGCAAGCACAAGGACCCAAGTTCGATTGGCAGTACCAAAAAAAAAAAAATGAAAGTAAAAGAGCTTGGAACACAGTTCAGTGTGAAGGCCCTGGGTTCAAAACTCAGTACCAAATAAATAAATAAGTAAATAATCTTATTAGGCTAAATCTAGAAATGTCCTTCAAGGTCATCTGGAGGTCCTCATGGGCAAGACAAGTCCTGCACCCACCCTCTTTATTTAAACATCATACTAGTTCAGTTTTTTTTTTTTTT